GATAAAAAGCAACTTTTGTCTCCTGCTGTCTCCTGTTGTACGGATCTGTTTGCTCCTTTTTTATGGACCTCTTAGAGACCCTCCACAGAATGTCTGAATTCTTGCATTCTTGACCCCTTTCATCACTGTATTATGATTTCTTTTTAAAAAAGAAACTTCCCTTTTCACTTCTCTACGAAACGCTCACAGCGAAACAGGTTTGCTCGTGTTTAGGTTCTTGAATTAAATACAGTCTTGCATTGAGGTGTTTCATGTATTTAAAGCTGGAACAAACACATTGGAAGCTGAGTCTTTGGGAGCTCAAATGCTGCATTTACTGAGAAGAAAAAAAAAATCCACACAAAGCAAATTGCCAAGGTTTAGCTGCTCCATTTACAATAATAGTGTGTGTACATTCGTTTAGCCTAGTGGTGGTGGCTTTTCCTTTATAAGGTGTGGGGCGGAGAGTGTAAAGCTACTGTGTGTTGAGCTTGATGGGATGTTACTGAAAGGTACAGTATTCCTTTTCAGCCTGCTCGAGTTAGGTAATAGCTGGCCCCTGGAGATCCAGAGGGCACAATCAGCTTTGTCTCTGAAAAAGGCTTGTGATATGAACCCTAAAATAAACACTTAACACTTCATGTCTCTACAACTGAGCCCTGGGTTGCTATTTATTTTTATTATTTTTTTTTTTCATACTAGGTTGGGGTTGAAAAAGTTCAGTTTAGCCGTGCTGCTAAGATCTGCTGCCAGCTGCATCTCTCTGGAGGCAGGAGAACAGATATGCATCCTGCTGCCCAGTGGTCCAGAATTCATCCCAAACTTTTATTTTTGGCAGTGGGAGAGACTGCTGGCCTCCTGCCCCAGGGCTTGCGAGTAGCCCTTGCTTCCTGCAGCCCCACTCCAGCGCTGGCCTGAGCCCTCTTTCCAAGGCTGGTGTAGGTGACGTGTTGCTCAGTGTGGCCCCAGTGCAGCTCTGTGGGGCTGGCAGGAGTCTGAGCTCCCTGTGGTGCCTGCTTGGGGTGGCTAGACTGTCCCTGTGTCTGCTGTGGCTGGTGCAGAGGGGATGCTTGTGTGCTGGGCTGTCCCCTTCCTGGCTGGCTGAGGCATGGGTGAGCATGTACAGCCCTGCACGAGAGGAGAGCTGGGTGCTTTCAGCCTGGAGGAGAAGGGCAGGTTCCACAGGTTGTTTGGCAGCATGCTTCAGCCAGGGCACTCAGCTCACCCTCCTGCATGTTTTGGGAGCTCTTGGCAGCCCTTAGGGCCCTCCCTCATGGGCAGGGGTGATCCTGCATGCTGGTCTCTGCAGAACCCTCTTCTTCAGTCCCTCAGCACCCCTCCTCTTGTTGCAGTGTCCTCTTGTCTGGCTGTGGTGCAGTGGCCTGAGTTCCCCTGTTGCATGATCCCTGGGTCAGCAGCCAGTACAGGCACCTCCAGGAGCAGCTCCAAGGTGCTGACCCTGCTGGAGTGGGGCTCTTGGTTCCAGCAGATTCAGAGGCAGGTGCCCTGGTCAGGGCTGGGGTGTTTGTTGATGTCCCCCCTTCATATATCTCAGGGTTTTCAATGGTACGTCAGCAGCTGCGGTCCCTGGAGGGGTGCGTTGGTGGCAGTGAGCTTTGTTCTGCAGTCAGCTGGGTGGCTGTGTCCTGAGGGGAGGAGCAGAGTGAGGAGCCCGAAGTGTGGAAGTGTGCTGCCTGGAGGGAGGAGGAGGAAACAGCACAGCCCTCAGGGAGGGGAGGAAGGCTCCTTTTGAAGTGAACCAGGCAGATGTTTTTCAAATGTTGCTTGGCTGGGGTTTGCTGCAGCAGGGACAGTCCCTGCTCCTCTGCTCTGGGGTATGTGGTGGTGCATCCCTCTGCCCCCCTTTCCCCCTCCCCCCCAAAAAATGGTGACACCTTTATCTCCAGTGCCCCTCACAATGGTCTGCCCTTCTGCTTGCATGTTACCTGGGGAGGCCACCAGACCCCTTCTGAAGTGTCCCACGTGGTCTGCTTCAGCTTGTCCTTCCAGCAAGGAATGACTCAGCCCCTGGTGCTTTTTGGAGCTGGCAGCAGGGCTACCCCCTGCATTTCCTGGTGGTGTGGGGCACCCCCCAGCTTCACTGCAGCCCTGTGAGGACAGGGCCAGTGTTGGCAAATGGATCCCTGGACCTCCTGCCTGCAGGACTGGTCTCAGGGCTGCCTGGGGATGGGGATGCACCAACCTCCAGTGCTGTTAGTGGGTGAAGGAGCAGGGTATGGCAATGCTGGCTGTGCTGACGACTTGGTCTGAAATGAGCATA